TATATATGAACAAATTGACAACTTTGACCGAACAATACTCTTTTTTCGATTTTTTCGGGCGCAAGGCAGTATCCAAATGTCCACCAGTGTAGCAAATTCGGCCCTTCAAAAATCTGCTTGAGGATAAACCAAACAATACCGCTTATCCGTATAGAAGAATACACACAGACAAAGGATAACCCGAAAAACACATGCAGGTTTGAGACATGTGACCCAAGTCATGTCAATGGTTTTATTTTAATACCATCAAAGACAAAGGATCGTTGATTGGTCCCTCCAGTTAACCAGTTTATCCCATGAGAGGAATCTTGGTGTAGATCTGTGCCGGACCCTGAGTGGACCGCAGGTTGACCTGTTGGATCCAGCTGGGCCAGACAGTCCCCTTGAAACCAACCATCGCAAAATTACCTGCAGGAAATGAAATATAGTCACTGCCAGCTTAAATAGTATCACGAAGACAAACAGATGAGTACTGGCACCAATTGTTCGATGTTGTTGAGGCGAAAACAATGAACATATAAATGTGGTACTGGGCTGACCTCAGCATTGCGTCGCAAGCCCCAAATTGCAACACAATTATAGTTTCCAGTTATTAATATTTTTTAAAATCCATTTTTTAAAATATGCATGTAGGAAACATTTGGGCTAGAAGGAACACATATATTCTAAACGTCCCTACTTTTCGACAAAGTTTTGTTCATTTCACTATTTAAGTGGGCGTAATAACAGATCTGGCCAGGTCATGCATGGTCAGAGCTGGTGGCTACTTGAGAATTTGATGTCAAAGGTACAGCTTGTTTACTTTCTGGCGCAGAAGAATTTTTGTCTTCGTCAGAAGGACTATGAAATTGTCTCGCCGGAGTGTGGGGAACTGCGGAGTTTGCGATATAACTCTGGAAGGTATGATTCGACGTCCATGATTTTTGGCAGGCAGATCACCGCTGTTGAGGCCGAAGTCAAGTACAAGTTTCGGCTTCGTGGGGGGTCCTTGCGTCACGTAGGTGCACCTTTTGTGTTTGTGGCTTGTTAGCAAGATAACTCAAGTATTTGTAAAATGTTGATTATAATTCTTGGTGTGGTGGTTACTATTGTCGGGACCAAGTTCGTTACTGAGCTTCGTGGGGGGTTTCGTTGTGACTACAGGGGGCATTTTGTTAATTTTCTTGTGAGCAGGATAACTTTTGTATGTGTTGATGGAAGTTAATGAAATTTTATAGGCATGTTACTGTGGTGGTCTCCAAGATTGAGTTCAAAGATGAGAGTCGTGGAGGTCGTTATGTCCCCGTAATAGGACCTTTTGTGTTTAGAAATCCCCCACCTACATCTGCTTGGAGACAGCCGACAGCTGGATATAGCCGGGGAACCCCATAATGGGATGGGATCAAATGACGTTACATTGAGGGATTGTACTATAACTTCAGCAGGGGGAGGATAGGTTGGACATATGTCAGGTTATTTTCAACGGCCACACCAAGTAATTGCTATGGATGACGTCCACTGGAGACCTTAAATCTAATTACCTTAAATTTAAGGCAAACGCGCAATAAAAACACGAAGGGCCGAAAAACGAGATGCCTAGATTTGGAATATACTAACTGTAGAAGTACAAATGTTAGGACACAAAGAACACAAGAAACAAGTCTTCTATTTGTCATAAAGACAAATTAACAAAACAGCAGTAGTCACCCTGTTCTGATTCTTTCCTTTATAACATCTTCTCTTATTATATTTTGCGACGCTGTCGTGACACTTTCAACACAGTAAGAATTTCTTGAACGTTTTTTTCCAGTAACAGTCCAAACTCAAATAACGTAGGGGGGGGGGGCTAACACGGGTGACGACGCATCTATATAATCTGCGGCAAACCGTTTCAGGGTGTTCTGTACCATAAAAATAGTACAGAGATTCTTTTGTTCTTTAGACCAAATTGATTATTAAAAAGAGTAAAGAATACGCATGTTAATTTCTCTAGAACGATGTACCTCTGACGAAGACATGACATCTCCGACCTCTAGTTGAGATTAAAACGTTTGAAATTATTTTAATTTCAATTTTCACGAGGCCGTATGGTACCGGTGCTATCTGCATGCCACCCTCTACTCGTGTACACGCCTATTTTCTTCGAGCATTACCTATTTGATGATGGAATGAATGGTATATAAATAAGGCAAACAGCTGCTTTGAGCTTACGACACCTTTGCTGCCTGTGACTGGCTTCGCTGCACCGATCTCCCTCAGAGCGACCAGACATTCCTGGGCAAACCTGCTGGACCGGTCCCGCACTGTCACCACCACTATGGAACTGCAGGAATTCGAAAGCAAACATTACAGCACCTGCATTGTACTTCGTGTTACACATTGGATTGAATCAGCAGATACCACAAAAATTTTATAAGACATCTTATGGAAATATGTGGCAATCTGGTGATACAGTTGCACTTTCTATTTGGAACTGGAAAAAGCATGATCATGAGTGTGTCGAAATAAATGTTGGAATAGAAAAAGTGCAACTAATCCACGAAATCCTCTCTAAGCACTCTCAGAATGCTCAAAGGTGCCATGCTGGCACATTTTATGTTGCTAATAATTACGCTAAAAAGTACTATATTTAAGGTACATGTACGGATGTACTTAGAGATACATATTGGCACTCATTTAATCAGCTTGAAAGCACTGTGAGCTTAAATCTAAATTTTTGTACTACAAAATTTCGCATTACGTATTGTATCTATTCATAACTGTCTACAGTTTTCATAGAACGACAATGAAGTCTAAACGACATGTACACTACAGTTAATATAAGGTGTTCACTACTACATATCGTCCTTACTTTTGAGGAATGTCGTTCCGTATGAAGTTGGCCATTGCGAGGTCGATGTCCGAGTTAGCATATGTGTTGAAGGTGGCCTGGTGAGTCACTGAACCCGACACTGCATCAACACTAAGGACCAAGTACCCTCGAGGATAATGGTTATATCGGATCCCATTTATCTGTGGTGAGAAGGAATTCAAAGGATATTCAGAATTGAAATGTTTTAGTTAGAAGACCAAGAGTATGCCTTATGATTTTGACTACTTGTTTCGGTTGATATGTTTTGTTTTATTATGTTACGTTTATTGTCACTAGGTTTAATTATTTGATTAATACGTTTAATTCTATTGAAATTTAAGCTAGAATACAGTGCGTTGTACAGGATAGGACCAGGGGGGGAAATGATACTATCCCATCATCCTTTGCAATACACATCCCACAACACTTGTCTTAAACATTTATGCAAACATTTGCTTCAAAAATGGTGCTCAAACTTCACCAAACTAAAGTGCTTTTCTACAAACTCTGTTGATTAGTG